TATTTCTACCTCTAGACCATTAGAACTTCTGCATATAGATCTGTTTGGACCAGTGAAAATTGCATCCATCAGTGGCAAGAAGTATGGATTAGTGATCGTAGATGACTATAGAAGATGGACATGGGTAAAGTTCTTAAGACACAAGGACGAGTCACACTCTGTGTTCTTTACCTTCTGTAACCAAGTTCAAAATGAAAAAGATTTTCAAATTTTTAAAGTCATAAGTGAGCATGGTGGGGAATTTGAAAATAAAATATTTGAATTATTTTTTAACGAGACTGACATCTCTCATGATTTCTCTTGTCCTAGATCTCCTTAAAAAAGAGTTATAGAATGAAAGAATAGAACTTTACAAGAAATGGTCAGAACCATGATCAACGAGACTAACATTGCTAAGAACTTCTGGGCAGAAGCAATTAACACAACATGTTATATTCATAATAGAATCTCCATAAGACCTATTCTAGATTAGACTCGATATGAACTTGGAAGAACATAAAGCCCAACATTTCTTATTTCCATCCATTTGGATGTACTTGTTTTATTCTAAACACTAAAGAACATCTGAACAAGTTTGACTCTAAAGCACAAAAGTGTCTCATGTTAGGATACTTTGAACGCTTAAAAGGTTATAGAGTATATAACATAGAAACATGGATTGTGGAAGAGTCTATCAGTGTTAAATTTGATGATAAGCTTGGCTCCTAAAAGTCAAAGCAGGGTAAATTTTTTGCAAATATAGAAGTTCAATTTACAGGTATTGAAGAAACTGCATCAGAATTTCTCTATAAAGAATCACAGTCAAATATAGAAGAGGATGTCACAAACATTACAACAACATATGAAGATCCCATCCAGAAGAAGATTATCTCCTCCGGAAAACACAATTTTGGGAAAGAAAGAAGACCCAATCAGAACAAGATCTACATTCAGAAATTCTGAAGAATCTCTCATGGGATTAGAGTCTCTTATTGAGCCAACATCCATTGACGAAGCCCTTCTAGATAATGACTGGATACTCGTAATGCAGGAAGAACTAAATCAGTTCACCAGAAACGATGTGTAGGATCTAGTTCCTAAACCAAAAGGCTTTAACATCATTGGAACCAAATGGGTCTTCAGAAATAAACTAAATGAACAAGGAGAAGTCGTCAGAAACAAATCACAACTGGTGGCACAAGGTTATAGTCAGCAAGAAGGGATAGACTATACAGAAACCTTTGCTCAAGTCGCCAGGTTAGAATCTATCAGACTTTTAATATTTTTTGCAGTAAATAATGGCATCACTCTTTATCAAATGGATGTTAAAAGTGCATTTTTAAACGGTTACATTGATGAAGAAGTTTATGTTCACCAACCCCCTGGCTTTGAAAATTCAAAACATCCCGAATTTGTTTATAAACTTAAGAAATCACTATATGGTCTGAAACAAGCTCCAAGAGCTTGATATGAAAGACTAAGTAATTTTATGTTAGAAAATGATTTTACCAGAGGGAAGGTGGACACAACGTTATTCTGTAAACTATTTAAAAATGACATCCTGGTTTGTCAAATTTACATAGATGATAGAATTTTTGGATCTACTAAAGCCTCTTTGGGAAAAGAATTTGCTAAGTTTATGCAGGCAGAGTTTGAAATGAATTGATGGGCGAACTCAAGTTCTTTCTGGGTATCTGTTGTAGCCCAAAATTTTCCCTCTCATTTATCATGATTTTTAACACAAGACTTCTTGGACTCAAGACAGGATTAGGGTTTGCTCAGCTCAGGACATCTCATCTTGCACTAATACCCCAAAATTAGGGTTTGAGTTTGCACAAGGATTCTTGGACCATCAATGCTTCATGTGACTTTCATACACCATCTTGGACCCCTAAGATTGCTCATACCAAGTTTCAAGCCTTGAATCACATTTTTGACCAGCCAATTGGACAATTGACCTAAAAATCAGCTGTATTGGGGAAAAAGTCAACCATGGCCAATTTACAGTCAAACTTCATAATTTTTAATCCAAAACCATATTTTAGACTCATATGTACCATTTGATCAAGTTTGGATCACAACTCTTCAAGAAATTTGATCAAATCATCAAGAGGGCAAAATGGTAAAAATTAGGATTTTGGTTGAGAAAGGATCAATTTTTTATTTTTAACCTAGCCAATGACCAATTGGGTTCAAGAATGATTTCAAGGACTCAATAGCATCATCTTTACCTGATCACATAGTTCAAAAGATCTCAAGTACATAGGATTGACAGATGAATTTTGCAGTCAACTGATCAAAAGTCAACTGTGCACTGAAAAGTCAAACTTTGACTTTTTGGTCAAAATCAAGTGCCAAAGGTCATAATTCATCAAGATATGTCAAAATGTGAAACTTGTTGTCCAAGAAACCTAAAATTGCAAATTAGGGTTTTAATTTGAAATTTTTTCATAACTTAGAATTTTTCTAAGTATGGAAAATTTCTTATTTTTTCCTAACTATTCACCACTTTTTCACCATGATGCAATTGGATTCAAAGAAAAATTCCAACATGAAAGTTGTAGTTGTCCATGAAATCTACAACTTTGATTCACAAAGTTTTCCCAAAAGATGCTTGGATCTCAAGTTAAGAATTTGTGAATAGGGGTCCATGAACTAAATAACTTAGTGAAAATTTGCCCTAAATTAGGCAGGTTTTTGACCCAACTTCATGGACATTTTTCACCTAGTTCCAAGAGGTATATCAAAATTCATTTAAAATATGGATTGTAGAGCATGTTGCAAGCTTTCCAAAATGTCCAAGAAATCTCCAAGATCATTTGTGGTTAGGGAGAGTCGAAGAAGAGAAATTGGCATTTTGTCACTTTTGTTCAAGCCATTTTCACAATGCATCAAGTTGCAAATCTGATCAAGCATGCTTTTACCTTGTATTACAGGTCCTAAACCCCTTCTACACTCCATAATTAAATGCTAACTCAGTGGATAAAGGCTTTGTTTTCACTTTTGGAGCTTTGTACAAGAAATAAATCTATTAATGGCATAAAGGGCACATTGCCATTTTCATAAAGCAAGCTTTTGCAAACTTTATCAGCCTTGAGCCTTGGACTTGTTCCTTTTGTGCAAGCATTGTCCACAGATATCAAGCATTGTTCACCAACTCTCTGCAGCCCATAAGCAAACAAGTACATGCCTTTTGCACAAGTCACTTCACTTTTCTTCAAAAGAAAAAAATGTTGCAAAAGTCCAAAGAACTTGTACTTCTGATGCATAGTATATGACAATTTAGAAAAATTCAAGGTGATATGTAATCGATATAAATATGTGTCCAATGATTTGATGTGTCTTTTGTGTTTCATATAGATGGAAGATTTGAATCACTTATGATAACCTATTTAAGAATTAGCATGATTTGGGAGAAAATTATGGGGTGGATTGGAATTAAACTTGTGTCATTAGATAACTGGTTTGATCATTTGTTGAAGTTTATTTTGTTGATTAAGGGCCGATTTTGCAATAAGAGGGTAAATGTGATTTGACTTGCGATTTGTTGGGACATATGGTGTTGAAGAAAAGAAATTTTGTTCAAGGAAGCCATTGGGGATGTTGATGACATTATTTTTAAAGTTAAGATGTTTATTTGGTGGTGGTTGACCATTAATGCAAAAGGGAGAATAAATTGTTATTTCTAGTAGTGCACTAGTCCACTTGACTTTCTTAAGTTTCTTAAGTGGTGCTTGTATTTAGGATACTTTATCATATTTTTGTATTAGAGTTGAAGTATCCCTAGTACTCTGATTTTAATGCAAATATTATTGATAAAAAAAATTATGATATACAGACGTATTTAGTATGATGATTTCACAATTTTAAAAAGGGGAAACCTTATCTACAATTTTTAGGTGTGGTTTATACTATTTTTCAATAAAAATATAATAAATCTATGTAAATATTCTTTAAAAAATAAAAATAGAAAAAAAAATTGCATGTGTAATAGAAAATTATACACTTGTCATATTCTTATTGAAAAATAGTACAAATCACACATAAGAAATTATATTTAAGTTTTCTCCTTTTAAAAATACTCATTCTTCAAAGGTGATATGTTATAATTTTTTAATTTTAAGAAATAAATAAAATAACTACTTTTTTATATTATTTTTATTTTTATTTAATATTTTAAACAAAAAAAATTTAGTTAAAATAATATTTTCCAAGAGTATCAAAATTCATCACACACACAGACACGCACACGCACACGCACACGCGCACGCACACACACAATTAAAAAATCTCAGTCGTGTTGTATCAAATTATCTTTAAATTTTAAAATTACTTTAAAATTATTGAATCACAATATAAAACTATTTTATACTATCATGTAAAATTCTTTCTTCTTAAATTAAAGAAAAGAATTAAAAGGTAATAAAGTATTGTTCAATAGTTTAAAATATTTTTTAATCAAAATTTATGCATTTAATTTTATTGTAAATTGATATACTTAACTTTTCTTAAAAATAAATAATAAAGTTTAGAAGAATTAAGTCAAACTGGATTTTATTTTGTTTGTATCCTATCGGCCTTTGTTGGTTGAAAGGGTGTAGGGATATTAAAAATATTAATCTTTTGTTGATAGTTGGAAATACATTCAAATATATCATCACATTACTTGAATAACTTTATTTTTTTTTTAATTTTTTCTATGAATATACAATTCTATTCAAAGTATACTGTATATGGTTATAAATATTTTTTTATTGATATGCACTGAATTCTTTACAATCTTATGTACATCACAATATTCATTCATGTTATTTTATAAATAATTTAAATAAAATCAAACTTCAATAAAAATCTAAGGTAACTATTAATATTTTTCAAACAAATAAATAACTATGGTAAAAATAGTTGCAATAAAAATCTAAAGATATTAATGAGTTAATGACTAATAATTAAAACATAATCAAATAACGTTTCTGGGAAAATAAAAAAATAATAATGCTTCATATGGAATTTAATCGGATTCAAAGTGTATGATATTGAATGATATCAATGAAAAAGTAAAAGAAGAAAAGTACCTGATGAAAACCATGTTCTTTGGTAATCTGGACTCCAATTTCACTAATACAACTTTGAATTTTCTGATCAGATCCATATAAATCTGCATACCGATCAATACAACCGTCCAAAATCATCACCAGCTCCGCCACTAAAGGGTAGCTTATAGCAAACCCTCCGCCACCATAACCCATCGTGTAAAAATGCACAACATTTTGTTCCACACTCTCCGAATTTCCACCAATATAATACAATTGATTATTATCATATTTGTTCAACACCGTGATTAGATTTTCAGGAAAGAATACCGTGTCGTCATCACCCATCACGAACCATCTCACATTATCTAACCCTAGATTAAATGTCTCTTTCAGTATCCGCGCAATGCAGATTGCTGAACGAGAGCCGTAATCGCATGTGTATTTAAATGGAGATGTTTTCGGCCATGTTTCGTTCTTCAGCGGGGCAGTATCGAGCCATACGAAGCCTCGTGTGACATTAGGGTTCCACCAGAGTTCGCTATAGTGACGATGATTCTCCCAGGTGGAATAGGTTCCACCGATTCCAAAGACGATGTGTGAAAGGTTGGTTGGAATTGGATCTTGAGGTGGGCTGGGAGTTGGGGGTAAGGTTTTGGGAATTTCTGATTGGAACATTTGTTTTAGGCCTATTGGATTGTAATGGATTTGTGGTTTTTGGAAAGAGGTTGAGAGGTAGAAAAAATGGGAGACGAGGAAGATGATGGAGATGGCGAGGCCAAGTTTTAGGAATAGGTAGAAGTGATCGCTCTTGATGGTGGGGAAAAGGAAGGTTTTCCATGGTTTGTTGAGAATATCTCGAAATGATTCCACGGAGGAAGAATATGACATTGGATATTAAAATTTTGTGGTTTATGAATGAAAAACGATGTATGTAGTATGTTGTATAAAAATGCATATAGTATTAAACACACCTGTGAGATGGATTAAGTTGTTAGTTGCGTGAACGTCTTTGCATTACTTTAGGTTGGTGCAAAGGAATATAGGAACCTACTTAGTCCTCTATGTTTTGATTTAAGTATATATATATATATATATATATATATATATATATATATATATATATATATATATATATATATATATATATATATATATATATATAGAAGTGTATTATTATATATCACTAACAAAAAATATCACTGACAAATGATTGAAAGAGAATTATAATATCACTAACCAAAAAGTATTAAACTATTGTCTTTCTGAGACAATTGTTATGTATAGAAGATTTACAGTTTCTTGAACCAAGGTACATATACTTTACCTTTAAAATATCTTTCGCTATCAACAATCATTGACTTGAGCGTCGAAGTAGTTCCATGTATCATGCTTTGACGCAAATCTAAACTTGAAGCAAATACATCTTAATATAGGTGTCTTATATATTGTCTCTGACGTTTATAAATTAAAACGATTTTTTAGCTATCTTATTATTGTATGGTTGAGAAAATCCATCCCCATGTGAGATGATTCACTAAGCTTCCTACTAATTAAGTATAAAAATCGTTCTTAATTTTATGTATTTTCTTTCTAATTTCCTTATATGAAGTAAATACATGTTGTTGAATAAAAAATGTATGTGTCACAACTTTGAATATATAACGAGTTAGGCATAACTTAAACCACTAATATTTGTTTCAAATCATTCCTTCTAGTACGTCGTTGGTTGGATCACCTAATAACACAACATTGTCTTCGAGCACTACACCACTTCTTTATTTAAAAATTCAATGTCTATAGTACCAAAAATTCATTAGAAAAATACATTATAAATTTGTTGATAGAAAAATGTGTCCAGATATTATATGGATCTCTAACCCATAACGTTTGAATATAATGATAATAGTTTCTTTCAATTTAATCAAAAAATTTAACTTTAAGTCTCTCTATTATAATCTCCATAGTAACACATAATGCTACAAAACCACTTTAAATATGTGCACATATTGAATTGAATATTTAAAAAGCCTAAAGAATTCTCTTGCTAATGAACATTAACTATCAATTCATCCTTCTATTGCATCATACCCTTCTTGAGTCAATACTCCTTTTGAGTCTTCATTTACTAAAGACTTCATAAATTCCTTCCCTTCTATTCAAGGAATTGTAAATTCTTAATGAGGAGTTACACTCTCAAATGGTTGACATGGCCTAACATTTACCTGAATCAAACTATCTGAGCCATTGATTACTTGACTATCTGAATCGTTGATTACTTCGCAACATTGTCTACGTGGCGCCTGTTTACTCATCACATTTCAATCTTAGTTAGACATCTATTAACTTTTTAAATATATAAAACTAAATTAATATTTTAAATATATAACAATGAGAGAGAAAAATTCTTACCTTGTTCCACAAGCTAGCAGAAAATTTAGGAGCCGAAACATTCACATATTGAATTTTTAAAGGTTGCACGTAATCAGCACGCTCACATTCATAATGTATTGGGCTGGGGTATCTTTTATAATTAGACTGAGTCTTCTCCTGTTCCACATCAATCTGGTCTAGAAAATATATTAGCGGCCTTCTACATATATCCCAACTAATGGGTCGGGTATTTAATGTAAATGGACCGTCGCTCCAACTCTTCCATGTTTTGAAGGTTAAGTACGGTGTTTCAAGGTCTTTGGCTGTGGGAAAATAGGGATACAATTCTACACTATAGCCCCAAGAAATAGACACCGTCCAATTTCGAGTGTGGTCATAGCAGAAACTCGGTTGGATGGTCCGACCCGGATCCGCTTTATAAGCGGTAAGTAACTTTTTAAGTGAATCTATCCGGTCCATGTCCGGGTAAAATTGCTCCACGTAGTCTAAATGATGCAAAGAAACCAATGGTGCTACTGGGTGTGCGGCCAATAACCCATAAGGACTTCCATGTACATCAATCTGTAGTCACGAAATAATAAATAAATTAATTAGCATACCTACTTTCACCTAAAAATTCATAATAAGTAGTTAGTTTCAAGGTTATTGATAATATTATTAATAAAATGAATAAAATGAAGATGGTAGTATAAATAAGTTTATAAAAATTATTTCCAAATACTATTAATTACCATAAATAAAATTTACCTAAATTTTTTATTTTTAATGTTAGAAAGTGAGTCTATGATGTATAGTATATGATAGTTTAGAAAAGATCAAGGTGGTATGTAATGATACAAATATGTGTCCAATGATTTGAAGTGTGTTTTTTGTTTCACATAAATGGAAGATTTGAACCACTTATGATAAGCTATTCAAGGATAAGGATGATTTGGGAGTAAATTATGGTGTGGATTGAAATTGACCTTGTATCATTAGATAACTGTTGTGATCATTTGCTAAAGTTTGTTTCGTTGATTAAGGGTCGGTTTTAGAATAAAAGCGTAGATGTGATTTGATTTGCGGTTTATTGGGACATATGGTGTCGAAGAAAATAAATTTTGTTCAAGAAAGCCATTAAGGATGTTGATGACAATGTTTTTAAAGTTAAGATGTTTATTTGGTGGTGGATGACCATTAACGCAAAAGGGAGAATAAATTGTTATTTCTTCTACTGGTGCATTAGCCCACTTGACTTTCTTAAGTTTCTTAAGTGGTGATTGTATTTTCGATACTTTATCATGTTGTTGTATTCGAGTTGAAGTATCCCTAATACTCTCATTTGAATGTAAATATTATTGGAAAAAAATGATATGAAGACGTATTTAGTATGATTATTTCACAATTTTAAAAAGGGAAAAACTTATCTACCATTTCTTAGGTGTGCTTTATACTATTTTTCAATAAAAATATAATAAATCTATTTAAATATTCTTTAAAAAGTAAAAATAGAAGAAAAAAATTACATGTGTATTAGGAAATTATACACTTATCATATTTTTATTGAAAAATAGTATAAATCACACATAAGAAATTATATTTAAGTTTTCTCCTTTTAAAAATACTCATTCTTCAAAGGTGATATGTTATAATTTTTTTATTTTAAGAAATAAATAAAATAAATACTTTTTTATATAATTTTTATTTTTATTTAGTATTTTAAATTAAGTAAATTTAGTTAAAAATATTTTCCAAAAGTATCAAAATTCATCAAATACACACACAAACATATATATATATATATATATATATATATATATATATATATATATATATATATATATATATATATATATATATATATATATATATATATATATATATATATATATATATATATATATATATATATATATATATATATATATATATATATATATATATATATATATATATATATATATATATATATATATATATATATATATATATATATATATATATATATATATATATATATATATATATATATATATATATATATATATATTAAAAATTCTAATAATAAATTATTTTTATAAAAATATTCATTAAAGTTATTTTATACTATCAATATATTTCGAACGTGTATTTTATTAAATTATCTTTTAACTTAAAATTATTGAATTACATTATAAAACTATTTTATACTATCATGTAAAATTCTTTCTTTTTAAATTAAGGAAAAGAATAAAAAGGTAATAAAATATTGTTCAATAATTTTAAAAAAATTAATTTTATCAACGTTTATGCAATTAGTTTTATTGTAAATTGATATACTTAACTTTTTAAAAACTAAATAATAAAGTTTAGAAGAATTGAGTCTAACGGGCTTTTATTTTGTTTGAGTCCCGATTGGCCTTTGTTGGTTGAAGGGTGTAGGAGTATTAAAAATATTAATCTTTTGTTGAATAGTTGGAAAATACATTCAAATATATCATCACATTAGTTGAAGAACTTTAATTTCTTTGATTTTTCTAGAATATACAATTCTATTCAAAGTATACTGTTAGGGTTATAAATATTTTTTATTCATATGCACTGAATTCTTTACAATCTTCTGTACATCACAATATTCATTCATGTTATTTTATAAATAATTTAAATAAAATCAAACTTCAATAAAAATCAAAGGTAACTATTAATATTTTTTCAAACAAACAAATACCTATGGTAAAAATAGTTGCAATAAAAATCTAAAGTTATTAATTAGTTAATGACTAATAATTAAAACTTAATCAAAAAACATTTCTGGGAAAATAAAATAAAAATATATAATATGGAATTTAGTCAGATTAAAAGTGTATGATATAGAATGAAATTAATGAAAAAATAAAAGAAGAAAAGTACCTGATGGAAAACCAGGTTCTTTGGTAATCTGGACTCCAATTTCACTAATACAACTTTGAATTTTCTGATCAGATCCATATAAATCTGCATACCGATCAATACAACCGTCCAAAATCAATCACCAGCTCCGCCGCTAAAGGGTAGCTTATAGCAAACCCTCCGCCACCATAACCCATTGTGTAAAAATGCACAACATTTTGTTCCACACTCTCCGAATTTCCACCAATATAATACAATTGATTATGATCATATTTGTTCAACACCGTGATTAGATTTTCAGGAAAGAATACCGTGTCGTCATCACCCATCACGAACCATCTCACATTATCTAACCCTAGATTAAATGTCCTCTTTCAGTATCCGTGCAATGCGGATTGCTGAACGAGAGCCGTAATCGCATGTGTATTTAAATGAGGATGTATTGGCGGACACTTTGTAGGGAGGAGATGTTTCCGGCCAAGTTTCATTCTTCAGCGGGGCGGTATCGAGCCAAACGAAGCCTCGAGTGACATTAGGGTTCCACCAGAGTTCGCTATAGTGACGACGATTCTCCCAGGTGGAATAGGTTCCGCCGATTCCAAAGACGATGTGTGAAAGGTTGGTCAGAATTGGATCTTGAGGTGGGTTGG